ACCATTATTTCTGGAAAATACAAGTGGTTTGGTTATCTCCTAACAAGTAATTTTTTTCCAGATGCTTCCCAGGATGTTCCCTCATTTCTCCCCACATCCATTTGTTTCTTTTTCCAGGTGCCTTTTCCTCTTAGAGCAAAATTAGCTAAAAAGAAAGTAATTAAGATATGGAATTGGCAGAAAAATCTGTTCTATGCAATACATACAGTATCCCCTGCTACGCTTGTGGAAATGTACTTACTAGTCGGTGGCTTTCTATTATTCATCAGAGCATTGTGAACTTCAGATGAGCAGTTGATTTGTAAGCCATCCAGGAGCCAGGCCTTGAAATATAGGTGAGAGAAGTTGGGGTGCTTCAGTTTTCTGGATTCCTGCATCAGAAGATCCAGACTTAGAGGCAGGTGAAGAGGTGATTGCAGGGACAAGCAAATCAGATTTAGGAGCCATATTTGCCTCAGCCAAGCTATGAGAATAGTTTTAGCTTTCTCTTACTTTACTCTATTCAGGAATTTGAGAAGTAATGGTGATTGTGGGAAAGTGCAGAGCAGCAATTGCGACCGGGAGTGGAGACAGCTGCAATGATTTCACCAGGAATTCTCCCAGAGAATCGGGGCTCAGACCATCCCTCAAGCAAAATTTGCAGCACTTTGTGTTGGTTGAGGGTGCAAAAAGGTCTATCACTCGGAAGCCCCAGGTGAAGAAGATTTCCCCTAGGACTGGGTTACTAAATATTCATTCACGGTGTTGGCAGAAATATCTGCTCAGTATATCCACTGAGTGTTCTGAAGACCCAGTAGGTAAGTTGCTGAGATATCAATGTGGCAAGTTATGCACCAGTTTCAAAGCTTTATTGACTCTGCACAAGGATGGGGATCTTGCTCCTTCTTCGTGGTTTATACACTGCATGGTAGCTCTGTCATCCGTCATGATCCTGACCACTTGTATGAAGGGGAGGAAGTGGCTGCATACATATCGGACAGCTCCGAGTTTGAGTAAGTTGATATGAAGGCCCCCTCATGAAAAAGGAGGAACGGAACTTCCTGTTATAACCCTAAGTTCTGAGAACGGTCCCCAAAAGGGGATTGAGAGGGGTGGAAGGTAGGGGGGGATGGAGATGAGGCAAATAGTGTAGCCTGCTGCAATGATTTCTAGCATCCATCTGTCCAACATGATCTGCTCCCATGATGGTCTGAAATGCATAGGGGGAAAGGTGGGAGGGGGGAAGGGTTATGAACACAGTGTCCAGGGATAGTGATTCGTGGCTCTCAACCAAACCATCAGAAGTGTCATGGCTGGGGCTTGGGCAGTCAAACCAAGGGTCAGAGCCAGGAGTTGAGCTAAGTATCAGATCCAGGAGTCAAGCCAAGGATGAAAGCCGGAACCCGAGTCAGAGACCAGGGGCAGTGATCAGGAACAAGACAGGTAGGCAGCAATCAGGAACAGGTCAGGAAAACAGGAACCAGAAGCAAGGCACGGAAGCAGGATCCAGGAACAAGTCAGGAAAGTGGGGCTCAGGAGTCAGAAGAAAAAGAAGGGTCCAATGCAGCAGCCAGCCAGGAATTCACCCCGTTGCACAGACAACTTCATGTGCCTCTCTTTGGGTTTAAATAGGAAGTGCTGACCAATCAGGGGTTCTTGTGTTCCTTCTTTTGGGGCCCAAGGGAAGCCTCCCTGATGTGGCTTCAGGTTTCATGGTCTCTCCACCCAGTCAATTGGTAGCAAGCAGGCATCAGTCAACTGGGAACCCCATGGATCCATGTCTGAGATCTGCAGGCTCATGACAAAAAGGACTGCTTTGCAGAAAAGGTTGGTGGGGTGATGGTAAGAGGGATTTTTCCTTTGGTACCTAAGCTTCTTCCTATGTGATTTTTGCAGGTTTTTTATATGTATGGTATTGAGCTGGACAAGATCTCTGGGCTGTCTGTGATCTGCTATATTTCATTTGGGTCAGGAGCATCAATGCCCAAGGAGCAGAGGGTTGCTCTCAAATCTTTCAGTGAGTGGAGGGACTCAGTGACGTCAATGAAGAGCTTGTGGCCATCAAAAGAAAGATGATCTTCAGCCATGTTCTGGACCTCTCTGAGAAACCCAGAGGATTGCAACCAATTAGCAAGGCAACCCTGCCTTCAGGAGAGGAGTGAAGGATACCTGCAAGGCTGTGTTGGGGTTCTTGCACTTCCTTTAAGGAGATTTGTAAGGACTCTGCTATCCTCTTCATAAGGTCCTAAAAGACCTTAAAGTCATCTGTGCAGAATGGGGGAGGAGGCATCACTGCCTCATCCAGGGGGAATTATGTGTTGGTACCTCTTCCTCAGCTCCCAGATCATGTTCCTCAGAGTGTTGTCATGTGAGGAGAGGAGAAGGCAGGATCCTCGTGTACCAGAAGATACTCCTCTGAGTGGGACCTCCTGCTGGAGGGAGCTCTGTAATACAGGTCACCATATCTGGTCCAAGGATTCCAAAAAGCCCAATGTGAGGGAGGATGGGGTATAGGTTGTGGGTCATGGGTTCATCACTGCAAGTTTCTGGAAGCTCCTCTTCCAAGTAGATTTCAAGGGAGGGAGGTCTCAATGGGAGATTTGTGGTTCACTAAACAGAAACCTCAGAATCTGAAGAAGTATCCTCACCCATTTCTGGAGGTGAGGAAGTGGGGGAGCTGCAGTGGTACCAGAGGTCACGTCAGTACTGAAGGTGTCACCGGAACCAGAGGTTGGGTCAGTACAGGAGGACATGCATGTGCCTGAGGCATGGAGATATTGGCTGGGCTAATGGTACTGTCAGGAAATTTCTCTTGGTACCTGCCAGGAGAGGACAGTCAGGTTCTTGAAGGACTAGGACGTCCTTTGAGAGCAGGAATGTGCTCTGTCTAGGGTGACTAGATGTCCCGATTTTATAGGGACAGTCCCGATATTTGGGGCTGTGTCTTATATAGGCGTCTATAACTCCCTACCCCCTGTCCTGATTTTTCACACTTCCTGTCTGGTCACCCTATCTGTACCAGCAAGGTGGGCTGTTGAACATTCTGCTGTGATATAGCTGCCAGTCCTGGGGATTGTATAGCTGGGTGATCCACAGGCTTTCTAAACTCCTGGCCTTCTAGCATGGGCAGTACTGGAGGAGCTGGTGTCGAGGGAGTCAGGGTTGGTGCTGGCCTCTCGAAGGAGTCCTTATGTCTAGAGGGCTCCAAATTGGATACCAATGCTGGTATCAAGCATGTCTTCTTGACATGGGAAGCAGGAGAAGCCTTTTTCGGAAGTAGGTGAGACTTGGTACTGGAAGGGGTTAGGAGCCTCTGCTGTATCCACATCTGGACATGAGATCCCTTTACTGACCCACCTTTGCGGTAACTTCTCTTCCCTCATTGACTCCTTATCAGAGGATTTATGCCTTCTCTTCTTGGAATGCCTCAGGGGTGTAAACGCTGTCCCTTGGGACTTGGGCATGAGAGTTGGACATGTGGAGGTTGACAGGGCATTTGGATCTCCCAAGGCTGATGTGGGAGGGAGGGGCAGGAGTAGGGGGAGAGGAGTTGGGCTGTGAAATGGTAGCAGGCCCCAAGAAATACTTGAACTGGTCTTCCCTCAGCTTTCTAGACTTGCTCTTGAAGCCAGAGCAGACCTTACAATTTGATGGAGTGCATGCTCCTGGAGGCAGCAAGAACGTCCATTACTGAAAAGAAAAGACCTTTTACAGGTCTGGTCTGGTTTGAACCCTGTGGTTTTGGGGCAGAGTGGAGGGCCCCAAACAAAGGGATCCAAGGTAGGCAGGAAACCGCCGCTACTGGGAAAAAAAGAATAGAGGGGTATCCCCCCAAATGCACAGAGTGCAAAGAAAACAAATGAAAAATAAAATAGATTAAATAAAATTGAGTAAGGAAAAAAAGAGTTAGCAAGCTAATTAAGGGACACACAAGACTGTCTCAGGCCACAGGCAGTTGAGAAGGAACTTGAGCAGCAGGGGTCCACCCTGCCTTATATACCCTCAGTCCAGAGCATGAGGATGTGCAGGGCACAGGTGTGGACCTACAGACACTACTTCCAAAAATCTCCAATCAAAAGGGTGGGCATGCACACCTGAAGTGAAGTGCCCATAGGGACAACTACTCAAAGAAGAATTATGGGTTGTATTCCATTAGCACATATATACACAGACACTTTTTTTTTGGAAAGAGATAGCATTCAGTTGTAATTGTACTATAAAAGTTTCAAGTATACTACATGACAATTATACTTCATTTCTCTATGGAATAGAAGTGGAAAGATAATCTGAACACAGACAGTGTTTTTTGCAGCCAAACCCAGCTATTTAAAATGTAAAGCTGTACTTGCAAGACTCAACCTTTCAAGAGAATGTCAAGCATTTATTTTTTCCACAACAAATGACTATATTTAGTCTTTTCTTTTGCAGACGGTATAGACATAGCTTACATTTTCTTTTATTACTTTAATAGAGAAGGCTGAATATGTATAGACTTTGGGGTTTAAAAAAGTTAGTTCTGAAGGCAAACATATTTATCATATCATTTCAACACAAGCCCAATTGCTGAGTCTCAGAGACATTTTGCTTCATTTGTACTAAAAACAGTCCAAAAAATAGAAGTTTCCCAGTGAAACCTAATAATGGTGCCAGTTTGGTTAACAGAATGATGGGACAATATGCTCCACTAATAGTCTTTACCAAAGTCTGCAGAACACAGTGAAACAGATTATTATTTTAATCTCATATTTATACAGTACCTCAAAGGACTCCAAAGTACCCTATACATTTAAAATGATATACAAATTACATTCAGGAGTCATTACATCCACCACTGACACGTAGTCACCTCTGGGGAAAGTCATGGCAACTGTTTAATATGACACAGCAACACTATAACTGTTTAGAGGGAAAATAATGTATCCAATCAAAGATACAGGGAGAAATGGGGTTATATTGCATATTATCTCTTTAGTGTTGAGTTATTTAAAAATTGCACAGAAGTGAACCTGAACATCACCTACCTGTTCAACCTGTACTGAAGTTCATACTCTCTTTCTTTAATAGCAGTATATTCATTCTGATATTTAAGAAGTTGCTGTCTCATCCTGGAGACTTCACTGGTAAATCCTTCTGGGAACTGATCAGCTTTTTCCAGTGCCTGTTTCTGCTGTTCTATTTCTACAGTGAAATGTTTCGCCTCCTGCAACAGCTGGATCTCTGACTCCTGTAAACTGTGTTAAATAAAAGTATTTAGGATCATACATTAAAAAGGAACCAGAAAGAAACCTTGTAATTATATTATTGTATCTCATATGCTGACCTATAACATTTAATATAAAATGGGACACTCCTGGCACCCCTCGGAACATCAGGATCTCTCTCTTTTTCTCTGTGTCTAGGCTCAGTTACAGTGGGCTTGGTGTATATTCATGGTCCATGTGATAGACAACTCTAAGTGAATGGAATACTACAAGATGGGACTAGTGTTATAAAATAGACTGGGGAAAATATGATGGGCTGCCTTACTCTGTGGTGTAGTAGTGGTGGAATAGGAGTGGGAGTGGCATTCATGTTTATTTAAATTTGATTTTTGTGGGAGGATTTAAGCAACTAGCAGTTTGTTTCATAGAATCATAGAAGATTAGGGTTGGAAGAGATCTCAGGAGGTCATCTAGCCCAACGCCCTGCTCAAAGCAGGACTAACACCAACTAAATCATCACAGTCAGGGCTTTGTCAATCCAGGCCTTAAAAACATCTAAGGATGGAAATTCCACCACCTCCCTAGGTAACCCATTCCAGTGCTTCACCACCCTCCTAGTGAAATAGTGTTTCCTAATATCCAACCTAGACCTCCCGCATTGCTCCTTGTTCTGTCATCTGCCACTACTGAGAACAGCTGAGCTCCATCATCTTTGGAACCCCCCTTCAAGTAGTTGAAGGCTACTATCAATTCCCCCTTAACTCTTCTCTTCTCTAGACTAAACAAGCCCAGTTCATAGAATCATAGAATATCAGGGTTGGAAGGGACCCCAGAAGGTCATCTAGTCCAACCCCCTGCTCAAAGCAGGACCAATTCCCAGTTAAATCATCCCAGTTCCCTCAGCCTCTCCTTTTAAGTCATGTGCCCCAGCCTCCTGATCATTTTTGTTGCCCTCTGCTTGACTCTCCAATTTGTCCACATCCTTTCTGTAGCGGTGGGGGGGCCCAAAACTGTATACAATACTCCAGATATGGCCTCACCAGTGCCAAATAGAGGGGAATAATCACTTCCCTCGATCTGCTGGCAATGCTCCTACCAATGCAGCCCAATATACCGTTAGCCTTCTTGGCAACAAGAGCACACTGCTGACTCATATCCAGCTACTCATCTATTGTAATCCTCAGGTCTTTTTCTGCAGAACTGCTGCTTAGTCAGTTGGTCCCCAGCCAGTAGTGGGTGCATGGGATTCTTCCGTCCTAAGTGCAGGACTCTGCACTTGTCCTTGTTGAACCTCATCAGATTTCTTTTGGCCCAATCTTCCAATTTGTCTAGGTCACTCTGGACACTATCCCTACCCTCCAGCATATCTACCACTGCCCCCATCTTAGTGTCATCTGTGAACTTGCTGAGGGTGCAATCCATCCCATCATCCAGGTCATTAATAAAGATGTTGAACAAAACTGGCCCCAGGACTAACCTCTGGGGCACTCCGCTTGATACCAGCTGCCAACTAGAGATGGAGCCATCGAATCACTAGCCGTTGAGCCTGACAATCTAGCCAGCTTTCTATCCACCTTATAGTCCATTCATCCAATCCATATTTTTTTAACTTGCTGGCAAGAATACTGTGGGAGACGGTATCAAAATCTTTGCTAAAGTCAAGATATATCACATCCACCACTTTCCCCATATCCACAGAGCCAGTTATCTCATCATGGAAGGCAATCGGGTTGGTCAGGCATGACTTGCCCTTGGTGAATCCATGTTGACTGTTCCTGATCACCTTCCTCTCCTCCGAGTGCTTCAAAATGCTTTCCTTGAGGACTTGCTCCATGATTTTTCTAGGGGCTGAGGTGAGGCTGTAGTTCCCCAGGTTCTCCTTCTTCTCTTTTTTAAAGATGGGCACTATATTTGCCTCTTTCCAATTGTCCGGGACCTCCCCTGATCGCCATGAGTTTTCAAGGCCTCTGGGTAGGGCTTTACTTGTTCATGTATATAGGGTTAGGGAATCACGAGTTTTCAAAGATAATGGCCAATGGCTTTGCAATCATATCAGCTAATTACCTCAGCACCCTCGGATGCATTAGATCTGGACCCATGGACTTGTGCATGTCCAGCTTTTCTAAATAGTCCTTAACCTGTTCTTTCACCAATGAGGGCTGCTTACTTCCTCCCCATACTGTGTTGCTCAGCAGTGTGGGAGCTGACCTTGGCTGTGAAGACCGAGGCAAAAAAAGCTTTGAGTACTTCAGCTTTTTCCACATCATCTGTCACTAGGTTGCCTCCCCCATTCAGTAAGGGTCCCACACTTTCCCTGACCTTTTTCTTGTTGCTAATATACCTGTAGAAACCCTTCTTGTTACCATTCACATCCCTTGCTAGCTACAACTCCAATTGTGCTTTGGCCTTCCTGATTACACCCCTGCATGCTCGAGCAATATCTTTATACTCCTCCTATCTGTCCAGGTTTCCACTTCTTGTAAGCTTCCTTTTTCTGTTTAAGCTCACCGAAGATTTCACTGTTAAGCCAAACTGGTTTCATTACTTGAGGTCTCAACTTCAGTGGGTACAATCCTATGTGTAACCCACAATTAAGTGAAAAGGTGGAGTGGCATCTCATGTTACTGGAGATTTTGCAAGCCAGGAAAGGGATTTGGCTCTTAGGAGAGAGATTCTTTCATTTATCCATTCCCTGTTGTTAGAGAGGTGACAGGCATGAGGCAAGAAGATCACCAACAGAAAAATACAGGCCATATATCAGGGTGAAATCCTGGCCCATTATAGTCAGCAGAAAAACTCCAATTCATCTAAGGTTAAATCCTGGCCCCACTATTTATTGCCTATCCCTCCAGCCTAATTTTCTTCTAGGAGCCCAGTGCAACGATGGACAGTGATCCTAATCTGCAGGTTTATTATGCTGTTTAGTGTGCATCACCCTCCCTGACTTCATCACTGATGAATTGCCTGACTTTGCTTGTATTACCAACGTCTGGCTGTATATAGTGACACAGTGTCTTGTAATAAATCCATCAATGTAGCAGACTTTGCTTGTTGTAATAGTTGATGTTTAAGAGTAAGACTATTATTAACATGCATTGCTTATTATGGAATAGTTACAATGATAAATGAATCATGAGACCTCATGTTATGCAATTTACTGTACTGAAATCTTTGTTATATGAATTATTGTTCATGCTTTCTGAATACGAATAAATTTACCAAATTAATTTTACATTATGCTAAAAGAAGTTCAGCCACATTGACTAACAGCGTAGAAAATTTCAAATTCAAAAGTTAAAACTGGTTTTGAGGTTCACAAAAGATCAGAAACAATCAAAGCACTACTATTTGACCATTGCTAATTAAAAAGAAGTGAATGCCTCCCCCCCACACACAAAAAAACCCAAAAAGCAAAAGGAATTTGGAATCTCCCAGATGGAGAATTTATACACCAAATTTTAGCTCAGACAATTTTGATATACCAAAATGAAGCTTACCAAACAACTGGATACATTATAGAAATATTAAAACAACCAAAACATAGAAATTCAAATTATACAGGCACTAGTATAAAAGCAAAACATTAAACTGGTCATATAGCAAGGACAGCTGAAATGGCACACAGAAAAAATTCAATTCATTGCACTTCAAGGTAGATAACTACTTCCTATTCTAAGAAAATATGAAAACCACATCGTTCAACAGAACTAAGAATGCATTCTGTAACAGGAACTGAATCTGTAGTGTTCGGATGAGTTGTATTTTAGCTTTTAAAGGGTGAAATTCACTGTACTGCATAGGTCTTGTGTGAGGCCCTACATACCAACCTGAATTCTATTTAAGCTCTTTCAAGAAGATTTTTCTGTTTTGAGAAGAAATATTTTTCGTTCCAGTGGTAATCCCCATTTTAAGAACAGGGAATCTCACTCAAGTTAATGACTCTTTCAAAGTGAAACAACTTTTAAAATAGTAAGATAGGAATTGCAGTGCGGAATCAAAGGTGAATCTAATGGAGTATGTTGTACCTAACAGCAGATTGTACCCTCTGCTTCAAGAGAAGCTGCAAGAAATCCCATAGTGGACAATTATGGAACAACCTAACAGTGTTTGGCTTACACTTTGAAGCTCAATTTGTTTATAATCCTATCTAAAGTAACTGAGAATGTTCCCACTCGGTAAAATTCACTCCTATGCAAAGGGTCAGCACAAGGCCTAGACATCATTTAAGCCTTCAAATAAGGTGAAAATAGGTGAAAACTGATATAAAGACACTATTTAGAGTCTCAGCAACATTCTTATCTTCCTTAAGTGTGCCCTTTAAACCTTATTAGTTCAGGTTTCCTACTTGTAAGGGGACCTTTGCCCCCTTACTAACATTCAGTGGGGGTGTTGTAGTTGCTAGCTCCCAGTACTAAAAAGGGGGAAGGGTCAATGGGGAATCAGGACCCTGAGACTGACAGCCTCCAGGAACAATGGGGAGAGGCCAATGCTTCATGTCAGCCTGAATGACAGGGTGAGCAGGCTAATCAGGGAGTCAGGAGGCCAGGGAGGTCCCGTCCTCTGTGTGAACTGGATTTGCCTGGGCCAGACAGAGTGGGGCTGAGCTAAGGAGAAAGCAGGGTCCCTAGCTAAGCTGGGGAGCAGAGCTGCAGCCCCAAAGCCAGAGGCACAGCCCAGAGAGAGCAGACTTGCCCTGGGAAGAAAGCTGCAGCAACCAGAGCCAGAGGGGCCAGAAAAGCAGCCCAGGAAGCAGGTCAGTGCTGGGAGCAGAGTCACAGAAGCAGCCTGCAGAGCAGACCTGTCCTGGGAGCAGAGCTGTAGCAACCAGAGGCAGAGGGGCCAAAGAAGCAGCCCAGGGAGCTGGAGGTAGAGCAGCAGCAGTGCAGAGACAGGGTGGTGGAGCTGGGGCTGAAGCAGTCTGGAGCTGGGTGCGGTGAGCAGCTAGAGAGAGCGAGGGGGACCCTGGGCAGTGGGCCCAGCACGGGGAGAGGCCTCAGCCAAGAAGCTCTGCAGGCCAGGCTTGGATCGTAACCCCGACAGGGCAGGGGCGACACTGAGAAGAAGGGTCCTACCACTTAGAGCCTGAGAGCGTGTGGCCACCACCAGAGCAAGTGCCCAACCCACAGCATCCCTACAGCACAGCCAGGGTCTGAGAAGAAGGCCTGGGACATACAAGGAACAGACTGTGAACTGCCCTGACATTCCAGAGACACTGCTTGTGATGTTCCCTGCCACAGAGCAGCTTGATGTGTTTCCTTTAACCTTTCTCACTTTCCCTTATTCTTTTTAAAATTAATTGTTAATTAAATAACTTGCATTTGCTTTAAATTGTATGTAATGGTCAGTGGGTCAGAGGAGTGCCCAGTGCAGAGAGAGTACCCTGGAGTGGGGACACCCTAGCCCCTGTCCTAGTGACCACAGCAGGGTTGGGGGTCGAGCCCCCCGGGAATCCTGGGCCCAGCCTTGTTGGGGTTACAAGGACTCTTCCAGAAAGGAGAGTGGAAGGGGAATCCTCAAGGGCAGGGAGGCCACTGGGAAAAGGAAGTGGGAGTGAGGACTCTGATCCTTTCGCTAGTCCACTTCACTGGGGTAGCGCAGAAGCCAGGAAAGTTCCCCACAATAGCGGGACTATTCCACCGCTTACATACTTCTGATAAACCAAAATAATTTCTTATTCTGTGTTTTTCATATCTTTGGCTATTTGCTCTACATATTTGCTCTCAGCTCTTTTAATTTTTACCTTACATTTCACCCACTGTAGCTTATGCTCTTCCATTGCCATCACTATATTTAGATTTCTGAGAGATACTTGTTTAGGTCAAAATTACCTCTTAAATCTTGCCATTTAACCATATTAGGTTTTTTTTCTTACCTTTCTGCTTTCTTTTTTAAGTCCAATCACTGTAAAGTGGGTCTTGAACAATGTATATGATCTTGTGCAGCGCCTCTGCACTGGGGGATTTTTACTTTAAGCATGTAATGTTTTGGCTAATGAAACAATTCAGAAAAGGAATTATGGCCATGGCTAATCTCTATAATCAAGTATTCACAATGAAACAAGAACTGATATACTGAAAATCTGCAAGTATTGTACCTTATCACAGTCTCATGCAGAGCGGTGTACTTCGCCTTCAGCGCAGCAACTCTGGTGCCTGGGAGCTTTCCAGCAGAAAATAACTAGAAAAGGGGAATAGACAGTTATTAAATCCACGAGACATTAACATTTTTATGTATACTTAGACTTTTATAATTAGTGTTGGCAGACTTTTCTTCAGGTCTCGGTAACATATAAAATAAAAATATACACACGAAAGATGCTTGTTTATTTAATAATTTGTAGTATACATAAAAGACCATAAAGAACACATCACAATTACAGAGTTGATTATACCTCTGTTCCCATTTTGCTCTCTTTGAGTGTACCCCCTAAGGTGTTAGGTCTGCAGCCCTTACCTGTCTGGAGGTGGAAGTACCCAATTCTCCCTCTCTTAGACCATGACCTGGGAATGCCACTCTCTACCTGCCCACTACTTATTACTGTGCAGGTCTGACTGGACCTGTTTCAGGAGCCTGTCACTAATGCTATACAGTGCCAAACAGCCTTCTTAAAACAAGTAGTTGTTTTTTTTTTAGCAAATGGAGCAAAGTGTTAGAGAAAGGGATTTAAAACAAGCAGCCTACACACATATCTAGACTCATCTAACCTTACACTTTGCTACGAGTTAAGTTAGATGGGCTTCCCTCTTGAGTTACACGAACAGAACATACCCATTTACATTCTTCTAGTAAGCCCAAGAGCTCTTAGCCTTCCAGAAAGTGTTTCTCTTAGACACTTTCCCCCCTCTCAGAGAAACTCCCTTTTTTCAAAGCCCTACCCCCTGTGTGAGCCTCAGGCCAGTTACTATATATCTTAATGGCTTTTGTTAGAGAGTCTAGGGTGGAATCTTCGTTTTGCCTGAGTATGTCTACACTACGGAGACTATACTGGCATAGCTGCATCACTGTAGCAATGCTGGCATAAACCCATAGTGTAGACACAACCTAAACAGACGGAAGGGGTTTTTCCATTGATGTAGGAATACCATCTCCCCAAGCAATGGTAGCTAAGTCGAGGGAAGCATTCTTCCATCAAGCTAGCTGTCTACACAGGGTGTTAGGTTGGCATAACTACATCACTCAGGGGTTGTGGTTTTTTTTATACCTCTGATTGACAGCTGTGTCAACCTAAATTTTAAGCAAAGACCAGACCTCAGCCTGTTTTTTAAATATTAAAGCAGGTTGTAAATTTAAAGTGCAAAAGCATTCTAGAATAGCTATTGCAGAGTAACTATACCACAATGCATCCGATGAAGTGAGCTGTAGCTCACGAAAGCTTATGCTCAAATAAATTTGTTAGTCTCTAAGGTGCCACAAGTACTCCTTTTCTTTTTGCGAATACGGACTAACACGGCTGCTACTCTGAAACATACCACAACAGTAATTCTAGTTAATTTCCTAGTGTAGAAAAGCCATGTTTTCACTGCAGCCGGGCTAGCCCTGTCTGGGTGGAGTGTCCCCACAGCAAAGCCTTACCCATGCCAGACCCATGTAACTACATCCACAATAGGGCTGTACTACCCCTTGAGCTGGAATGGATTTCTGGTGGGCTATCCTGTGGGTCTTAACAGTGCATTAAATTGAGCCACTCTACAAATTCATTCACAGGTTGAAAACTCACTCAATCTCACCTAGAATGAAGCTGCTGTCTGTGGCCATGACATGAGAACAGTATGTAAATAACTTCCAAGTGGAGTTATTATTAATGCAGGCAGTCCTGCAGGTGAAAGCAAACAGCATTTGGCAACAAGAACTTTTAATGAGAAAGTTATTAAGGAATTCAGTCTACAAACCACAAAGTGATTCATAGCACACCCAGCTGACTTCTTTGCCTCTCCATTTCCTATTTCTTTCCTGCCTAGTAAACATAAAAATCTCATGTTGGGTACATTTATCTAAATTATGTTTTTTATTGATACTACCCCACAGCTTTAGCAGGAGACAGGTGTCAGCTTCTGGCAAACTGCCAGCACAGGAGGATTTCTTGGATGGTGTCACAGATCCTAGCAAGTGCTCCCTCATGGCCACTCACTAGGACTGCCGTGAAGGGAATCCATGCTGTGTCCCTTGCTCCCCCGGCTATTTTAAGCCTACAGAGCATGAATGCAGTCCAGCCACTGCCCCAGTCTCAGGATCCCTAGGCACACTCTTGGAAGTACAGACCTACAGCCTAACACTCCCTCCTGAGAATTGGAGCCCTATACAGCTGCCTAGCCCCTCTGTGCACAATGGTGAGCTTTAGAATGCCCTTGGACTTAAACATATCCTCTCCTGGAACTTTACCCCAAAGGTGTGAAACTTTTTGTTACAGTCTAACTCTCAGGGGCACACAGTAGTTAACACACAAACTTTGCAGACTCTAACACATTTATGTTCTTTACTTAATCATACAAACAACAAACATTGCACACATTTCCCTTTCTAGCTCAGCCTTCCCTTAGGTGTCATTAGGAACCACAGGCAGGCTGTCCCATTCCTGACGCTGTTCCATGACGGGTGGTATCTCCCTTTTACCTAGCTTCTGTTGCTTTCTTCTGCCCCACGTGTCCTCTTCCTGCCTGGCTCCCTCTATTCCTGTGAATTCCTTTATTTAAACTCCTCCTGGTCTGCTGGCTGCCTTTGTTCTGCTCCTGATAAGTTTTCATTGCTTCTGTCTCCCCCTCTCCTTTCAGAAGAGTAAGCTAAACTGGATTTCCAAGGTTTGAGCTCACCCACTGTTGCCAGTTGTTTGAACCTGAATAGTATAATTGAATCCTAAGCACCACTAGCTCCTTGTATTTGTCTGCTGTGAACCTGCTACAGGACCTGGTAGATCTTCATACATATAGGCACTCAATACAGCTGCTTTTCATAAACCAACTGCACAATATTAACCAAAATTCATAAACTGTATAAACATAGCCCCAGTTTGTCACAGATGAGATCTCTGTTCAAATGCTGTGGAAGTGCAGCAGAAATGGAGCAGGCAAACAGGGTTAAAATGCACAGCAGAAGAAGGGAGGAGTTCCACAAGAAAGTACTGCCCAGGTAGAATTGTGGGATGGGACTGGAGGACTAACAGCATCTGGGATTGAGTAGTCTGCATTTTCACTACAAAGTAGGCAGTTTGCCTGTCTGGGCTGAAGCAAATTCCAATCTCAAGCCCATATCCTCAGCCATGCTAACTAGCCCAGACTTAAAGCATCCTCAAATCCATGTTAAATGTTCTTCTGTGTGGATGGAAGGAGGATTTTATGATGCCAGAGCACCCACTTGCAATAGGGCATAATGCTGCAGACAATCTTCATCTCCAGCCCTTCCTGCAGTCTATCTGCCCCTGTTCATACTTCAGCTGAAAGCATCTAAGTCAGATCCCTTTCAAGGCAACAAAAGCTCAAACTAACACTGCAAAGTATCTCAACAATCAGTCCTTCCTTTGGGCTCTGTCTTCAATCTCCTTTCTCAGCCATTCAAGAGTCATCTACCACAGACGAGCATAGATATTATAATTAGCATTTGGGGAGAGGGAATCATAAAAACTGTGGGTGAAACCATGGGTTCTGAACTTCTTAGCCAATGTATGTATGACCAAGAAATACAAGGTAGGCCAAATTAAGCGCTGTGGCACCTATATAAATCCAGAGCAATTCTATTGAAGCCAACAGACATTGTGGCCTCAGTCTCCACTCTTGCACCGTATATATATTTGTACCTGTGCAAACTGTGTGTAAAATGCTACCATTTTGACTTGTTAGAGCTTTACAGGCACTGTGCGCAAGTGTTAATGACTATACAAGGTGTAAAACAACAGGAAAAAATCTCAGACATGTAAGTTAATGAGAGTTTTGCTTGAGTAAAGACTGCAGAATTGGGCCCTTAGACATCTATCCGAACAGTATGCATTGCAACACTTTGCAGCAAGACTGCAATAGTTACTGGCATGCCATTTTTTAATTAAGTGAAAACGTGTCACAGGCTATCTAGGTTTTGTAAAGTTTACCCAAAATGTTGCTGTGTGCCCTCCTCGGAGAGTATGCCTTGCAATGCTGCAACCCCTCTCTCGTTTTGTATAAACAGTTTCCATTCCACTACACTCTCAGGCTCAATGTATTCTGAAATTAGTAAAGTGAGTAACATTAACAATATCTTCTTTTTTGTTAGTCTCTAAGGTGCCACAAATACTCCTTTTTCTTAGTACAATTATACTGACTTAAAATTATTGGTGTGAGATAAGAGGCCCCCTCTCCCCCCCCCCCCCCCCCCCCCCCCCCCCCCCCCCCCCCCCCCCCCCCCACCCCGCCCCCCCCCCCCCCCAACCCCCCCCCCCCCCCCCCCCCCCCCCCCCCCCCCGCCCCCCCACCCCCCCCCCCCCCCCCCCCCCCCCCCCCCCCCCCCCCCCCCCCCCCCCCCCCCCTCCCCCCCCCCCCCCCCCCCACCCCCCCCCCAACCCCCCCCCCCTACCCACCCCCCCCCCCCCCCCCCCCCCCACCCCCACTCCAAACTCGAACCCCACCAACCCCACACCCCCACCACATCTACGACCCCCCCCCAAACCACCCCCACCTACCCCCCCACACCAAGAATCAATCTACCACCATTCCCAGAGAACCAACCAACAACCCCACCCCCCCCCACCAGACCCCCCACCCCCACCCTTCTACTAAACCCCCATACCAGACCACCCTCAAAACAAACCATAGACCCCCCCTTTTGACCCCCTTCATAACCCAACCACCATCCACAACTTGACCCCACCCACTTTCTTCCCCCAACCCCTACCCCGTCCCCTGACCCTTCTAACCAACCCCCCCCTCCTCCCCCCACAACCACCCCCCCCCCTTTAACCCATGGTAAAAATTTTTAAAACCCTTTATAATTTTTAAAAAAAAAAAAAAAAAAAAAATAAAAAAAACACACTATTTTCATTAATTTAAAAATTTAAAAAAAAAGGAGTGGTTTAAAAATTTTTTTTTGGTTTTTCACTTATTTTCCTTTTTGTAAAAAAGACCCCCAAAAAAAGCCTTCCGACTAAACAAGTGGCAGTTTCCTTCTAATTCTTCTAGCAATCTAGTATAATTAAAGGTAGAATCTGGAATCAATTT